ATTAGTGTCCTGTGTTTTAACGCGGTAAATAAACTATAAAATGTTCAGGCAAAATAATAACCCCCTTTCTATTGCAAGCTTTGATTTGTGTCAGAACCATTGCTTTGGTTTTGATGAATACTGCACTACAAACGGCTATTGAGGTGGTCGAGGATTTTTGCATAATCTCTTTTTGCACAGCGGGCTTAAAACTTCATCACGTACGTTTTGAACAAGCTTATGAACAGCCCAGGATTCATGTCTATGTGCAACAGTTTTTGTTTTTATGAAAATCTTTGGAAAAGAAAGAAAATGAGAAAAAGAAGAAAATGGATTGCTCATAGATGCTCCTTTAGTTTGTTTGAAAATCCACCAATCAACAAAGCAACTAACCTTTACCTTTCACAATATTGTTCAATTGATGCTGGAATTACATAATAGATCGGAACTTCCTTTTATGAACTATTATTCAGTGGAATATTACATGTTGCATCTTGTTGAGCGTTCCGTCATCGTAAAATGATATTTTGTCCCTTTTTTCAAAAGCGCGAAAATTCTTCTACCAGAATGTTTTATCTTCAGGGTGATAACTTCAGTTTCTTTCTTAATTTGCATAGGTATAAAGTTAAATATAGCGCATTATTCTCGTTATTAATTAACTGATATATTATGCTAACTGATGAATTAGCCGATTTATTATGCTGCAAAGATAGTTTTCTTTTCCACCAAATGATGTGAATGCGTGTCTTACAACAGATATTCTGGCTACGCCAGTAATGGCTTAAAAAGTTTATAGCGAATCATAATTAGTATTTTTTGTTATGCCTGCTGTTACCGAACGTTTTACTGATTTAGACGGCCGAAAAGGCAGCGATGTGTCACCCGGATAGCCGCGATGCCGCCGAGCGTGCAATGGGTTTCCGACACAGTTATAAGCAGCATCTGATGTTGTTGAAACAGCATCCATTGTACGCAGACAAAACACAGATTGCTATCTCTTCTAAATGCTAAAAATTGACTTTTATAAACTTTCAGTGCCTACGGTTGCCTGAATGTCCGAAGTTTGCTCAATCTAAAGGAACAGCTTCTGAACGAGTATTATTTTCCCGACGCTTATTTTAAGGTAAGAAAATTAACGAAAATAAAATTAAATGTGACTCCCATTATCTGGGGTAACTTTCAGTTCCACCAGTAAATGTTACATTTCAAATACTTATATCGGATTTACACGGCGAGAACGTTTCGCATAAATAAAAAAAAACTTTTTCCTACCTAGCTTAGAAACTTGCCTAAAGTATAAAACATTTTCTCACTTTTCACTACCAGCATAAAGTTAGTGGTTTACAATTAGATTCAATCGTTCGTCCACCTATTTTTCTCAGTGCGCCGTGCGCAGTCTGATATATGATCTTTTTAATACTACAGTTAGCTGGTTGATTTTGCATCTGTGCCTTAAAGGAGCTGGGATGTTGGGACGACTTGAACTTCCAGCTCAAGTGTCTGCACCATCATTCAGTAAGGCTTCCGTTCTGCCCTTCCTCATTTTAAATATACCGATTATTCAGCAGACCTTCTATCGATGATTTGCTCAGACCACAGGTACTTCATTGTGAATATTTTTTCTACATAAGCTTGAACGAGATGCTTCATCTCTGATGTTAAGGATAAATGAATTTGCACTCGCTTACAGCATTTTCTGGGGTGTGCAACACAGTGCTGATTCTTGGTTACTATGACTCATCCGGGATGCGTTTGATGCACACCTCGTCAGGGCATTCAAATTTTGACGCAAACTCTTAAATCCAGTATTTTGCATGGTTTCAAAATTCCAGATTTGAGTCTTTCCTCAGGATTTTAATCCGTAGATCATCGAAATTTGATCTCTACATTCAGTGTGATAATCCTATAGCCAATTATCAGTTAGTTATAAAAAATTCTTTTTAGGATAAATGCGAAGAAAACCAAACTGCGCTGCTTGCCTTTCCCGACTACGTGAAACAGTTGGATGCGATGGATTGGGAAAGTCGACAGCTGGAAATCGTAACCGGCCTTCTTGCAGGCAATGTTTTCGATTGGGGTGCTAATGAGGTAGTGCGGTTGATCGAAAACTCGACGTTGTTCTCCTTCGCTGATGCAAAGGCTAAGCTGCAAAGTAAGAAATGGGATACTCC